TGATCAACTTTAGGGTGCTAGGGTGTTCTCAAAGATTGACTTGAGATCTGGTACCATCAGTTGATGATCAAGGCTTTGGACATTCCTAAGACGGCCTTCAGGATGCGTTATAGGAATTACGAGTTCTTGATGATGTCTTTTAGGCTGACCAATACCCCAACAACTTTCATACACTTGATGAAAAACGTATTTCATCCTTATTTAGATTCCTTCGTCATTGTGTTCATTAATGATATATTGGTGTATTCTCGTAGTAGAGAGGAGCACAAGGAGCATTTGAGGACTGTGCTTTAGACTTTGAGGGATAAGAAGTTGTATGCTAAGTTCTCCAAGTGTGAGTTTTAGCTGGACTTGGTGGCATTCTTGGGTTACATGGTGTCTAGTGATAGGATCAAGGTGGATCCGAAGAAGATTGAGGCAGTATAGAGTTGGCCCAGACCTTCTACCATTACTAAGATAAGGAGTTTTTTAGGGTTGGCTGGTTACTATCATCATTTCCTGGAGGGTTTCTCGTCTATTTCAGCTTCATTGACCAAGTTGACTCAGAAAGGCGTTTCGTTCATGTGGTTGAGCGAGTGAGAGAGCTTTCAGAAGCTCAAGACAGCTTTGACTACAACTCCAGTGTTGGTTTTGCCTTCATAGTCGGGGTTAAATACGGTTTATTGTGATGCTTTGTGGGTTGGCATTCGGTGTGTGTTGATGCATGACGATAGAGTGATTGTCTATGCATCACGCCAGTTGAATCCCCATGAGAAGATCTACCTAGTGCATGATTTGTAGTTAGTAGCTATTATACATGCGGTCAAGATTTGGATATGGAGTGCCTTATGAGGTGTATACGAATCACCGGAGTCTTCAACATTTATTCAAGCAAAGGATTTGAACGTGAGGCAGCGGAGGTGGTTGGAGATATTGAAAGACTATGATATAACCATTTTTTATCATCTACGGAAGGCCAATAAGGTGCTCGTCGCCTTGAGTAGAAAGGCGGAGAGTATGGGGAGTCTTGATTCTATTCCAGTTAGGGAGAGTTCTTTGCTTATGGATGTTCAGGCTTTGGCCAACAGGTTTGTGAGATTGGATATTTCAGACCCTAGTAGAATCTTTGCCTATTTTGTATCACATTCGTCCTTGTTTGAGCGTATCAAAGCTTATCAGTATGATGATCCCCATTTACTTGCCCTTAAGGACACGGTGCAACGAGGTGCTGCCAAGATGCGACTATTGGTGATGATGGTGTGTTACGGCTTCAGGGCCGAATTTGTGTCCCTAATGTGGACAGGTTAATGGAGTTTATCCTTGAGTAGGCTTATAGTTTGCGATATTTTATTCACCCAGGTGTTGTAAAGATGTACTGTGATTTGAAGTAGCATTATTGGTGGCGGAAGATGAAGAAGGACATTGTTGGATATGTTGCTCGGTGTTTGAATTGTCAGCAAGTCAAGTATGAACTTCGGAGGTTTGGCGGTTTGCTTCAGAAGATTGAGATACTGGAGTGGAAGTAGGAGCGCGTTACGATGGACTTCGTGTAGGGTTGCCACAGACATTGAGGAGATTTGATGCAGTTTGGGTCATTGTGGACAGGCTAACCAAGTCTGCACATTTCATTCCAGTCATGACTTCCTACACTTTGGAGCAATAGGCAAAGATATATATCAGAGAGGTTGTCCACTTACATGGTGTACCTGTGTCTATTATCTCAAATCGAGGCACTCAGTTTACTTCGCATTTCGAGAGGGTTGTTCAGCATGAGTTGGGCACACAGGTTGAGTTGAGCACCGCATTTGACCATCAGATGGATGGGCAGTCCAAGTGGACTATTCAGATTTTGGAGGATATATTGAGGGCATGTATTATTGATTTTGGAGGTCAGTGGGACCAATTTCTACCTTTAGCAGAATTTGCTTCAACAACAACTACCAGTTGAGCATCCAGATGGCTACGTATAAGGCATTATATGGGAGGCGATGTCGTTCTCTGGTTGGTTAGTTGGTTTGAGCTTGGTAAGGCTCAACTATTGGGAACAGATCCGGTTCGTGATGCTTTGGAGAAGGTGAAATTAATCAGGAGCGGCTTTGTACAATGCAGTCTAGACAAAAAAGTTATGCTAATAGGAAGGCTCGTGATTTGGCATTCATGGTGAATGAGAAGGTTCTACTTAAAGTTTTACCTATGAAGGGTGTGATGAGATTTGAAAAAAAGGGCAAGTTGAGCCCCTGGTATATTGGTCTACTCGAGGCGTTGGAGAGAGTTGGTGAGGTGGACTACATGCTTACTTTGCCACCCAGCTTATCGAAAGCTCACATAGTGTTTTATGGTTCCATGCTTCGGAAGTACTATGAGGATCTGCCAGTTGTTTTAGATTTCAACTCGATGCAATTGGACAAGGATTTGACTTATGATGAAGAGTCGGTGGCTATTTTGGATAGGTAGGTTCGGAAGCTGAGGTCGAAGAATATTGCATCGATGAATGTTCATTGGAGAGGTCAACCAGTCGAGGAGGCGACTTGGGAGATCGAGCATGATATGCAGAGCAAATATTCTTACTTTTTTTATATTAGGTATGATTCTAAACTCGTTTGAGAATGATCATTTGTTTAAAAGAGGGAAAATATAACGGCCCAATCGGTTGTTTTGTATATTTTAGCCCTTTTCCCCTATTTAATGTTACATGTATATGTATTTTATGCTTAGTGACTTGCAGGGATGGTGGGTATTTGTTTCGGGAAGGTTTTGGAGTGAATTCAGATACTTAGTCTCATTTTGGAAGCTTAAGTTATAAGAGTTGACCAATTTTTAACTTTTGTGTAATCGACCTTGAAATGGTATTTTGATGGTTCTAATAGGTTTGTATGGTGATTTTGGACTTAGTCGTATGTTCAGAGTTCGATTTGGAGGTTCCTAGATTGGTTTGGCTCTAATTGTCGAAAGTTAAAAAATTAGGTGTTTGGAAGATTTATAGGATTGTCCAGCGTTGACTTTGAGTCTATCGAGGTTGGATTATTATTTCGGGAGTTGGAATAGGTTCGTTATATCGTTTGGGACTTGTTTTCAAATTTTGGGGTTATTCTGAGTTGGTTAGACGTAGTTTGTCACAAGTTTTGAAAGTTGGAAGTTAATTAGTTCATTAAGCTTGAATTGAGGTACAATTTGTAGTTTTAGTGTTACTTTGTGTGATTTGAGGCCTCGAGTAGGTCCGTGTTATATTTTGGATTGGTTGGTGTGATTGGATGAGGTCTCGGGAGGCTCGGGAGTGTTTCAGATGAGTCTTGGATCATTTTAAGGCTTGAGAGCAGTCTGGTTCTGGTGTTCTTGCACCTGCGTGGTTTGGACGGCAGGTGCAAGTCCGCAGAAGCAGACATGAGGTCGCAGAAGCGAAGGATGGATAGGGAGGAAAAGTTCGTATAAGTGGGGTAGTTAGCGCATCTACGGAATTGTAGATGTGGAATGAAGGGTGCAGATGCGCATTAGGCCGATTTGGAGAGAATGTGTAGAAGCAGGCTCAATAGTCGTACCTGCGATATTGTAGAAGTAGAGGAAATCCCGCAAGTTAGAGGGGTCAGAGAATAAGTGAGACTCGCAGAAACGAGAATCTCTTCTCAAAAGCGATGCCGCAGAAGCAACATATTTCGCCGCATGCTCGGATTGGGCAATTATTTAGGCAATTTTCACCACTTCAATTGGGGTAAGTGTTCTTGACTTGGATTTTGATTCTATTTCATGATTCCATCTTTGAGTTTAAATTTTGGTTGGTGAAATCTAAGGGAGAAAATGGATTTTTTGTGAGTAAATTTTGTAGAGTGATTATTTAGGTTTTGAACCCCGATTTGTAATCGAATTTGGATGAAACTTGATTATTTGGACTCGTGTTGGAATGGGTGATCAGGATTGGGTTGACTTTTTGATTTTTTGAGCTTTATTACTTAGAATCAATTTCTATAGCCGTATTTGTTATTGAATTATTTGTTTTTACTAGATTTGACCCGTTCCGAGGCCAATTCGAGAGGCAAGGGCTTTTTAGAGTATTGATTTGGCTTGTTTGAGGTAAGTATCTTACCTAAACTTGTGTGAGGGAATAACTCTTAGGCTTGTACCGTATTTTTCTAATTGTGATGTTGCGATGCGATGTATATGCGAGGTGACGAGCGTATATACGAGTGCTATATATGAAAAATGACCGGCTTAGACTCTAGGTTTCTAATATGCCTTTTGATTGTGTACTCTTTTTGATACATATATAATTCATTGTATTATTACGCGAGCTTACCCTTTTCATGCTAGAGATCATGTTTTAGGATTTTCGATTCCTAAATTGGCCAAGTTGGGCATTTATGGGATCACTGCTAATTGATTTAGTCATAGTCATGTTTTATATGTTGAACCCTTATCCACATTTATTTATTCATGTCCTTGTACACCTTGTCGACAAATTATGAGTGTATGTATTTTATAATAATTGACTTATTGTGTTGTTTTGATTATAGCACATGTGAACATGTTGAGCAGATTGTTTAGGGTTTTAGCATGAGATTTTTTGCTGTACGATTATGATTGATATTGTTATTATTGTCGGGTACTGCGCGATGAGGATGGATAATGCTATTGCGTTAGGGTTATCTTTTAAAACTGTTTTTACTCTTTGGCATATATCTAAAATTGTTTACCAGTTATTTTTCACCAATATTAAACCAACCAAAATATTCTTAGAACTTTAGCAAGTAACAGTCTTTTAAATAAAATTGTACTTCAAATTCAATATTCCAAAGCCTAAATTCAAATAAGCACACTTTCTTTCAAAAACCAAGCTCACATCAATTCGTCTAAAGCCAAAACCAAAACTTAAAAACTAGTTAGAGGTAAAAACAAACAAAAAATGAGTAAAATCCTACATATATCGCTAAATTATAATTTAATTAATTAAGCATTTACAATTAGTATGGCTAAAAATACGAGTATTTTTTACAGTAACAAAAAAATATGTATATATAATTTTGCCAGAACATAAAACGAATAGCAGAACAGCGCTGCAGGCGTTGTGACAGGTGGTTCGGAATATGGATTTTGCCGCCTCTACCACCACCTCGACGGCGGCGATTTCCCCCTCCAACGACATCGTTCCTCAGGTATTCTCCGTCAGAGCTGCTTCCCTTTTCGTTCTCTTTTTACCATTTCCTCATATGAAATTCTGCTTCTCTAGTTGACCCCTATTGAGCTCTTTGCTTCTGGAATTTCTGATTCTCTTTCTCCTCAAAAATATTCTTAATGAATGGTTAATCAGTTGATTTCTAGTGAAAGAGATAAAGGGTCTCTTTCTTTCTCGTATTTTTGAGCCGTTTAATTTTCACCAAATTTATTTGTTTTTGTCCTGCTAGTTTTGTTTTCGAATTCCTATATTTGCTTGCCTATTGTAGTGGGAACATTTTGCTGGTAAAATAATCTCTTTAAGCATTAAGGCAGATAAACTATGCTACTTCTTGAACGCTATATTATATTCTTAGCTGTCAAGCCAACTGTTTGTGCCATTTCTTCCGCCCTTACTTGGTGTGCACTGAGCATTTAGAGTTCTTCATATCTAGGTTCAAAACCTTGGTAATTCTTCCCATCTGTTTAAGTATTAGTAGGTAGAGTTATCCGGTACAGGTGCTGGTGGAAGGTGAAATTAGGCGGCTGAGACACCAAAGGTGGCTTAACAAACTCAGTGGGCTAAAGCAAAATTTTATTAAGAGGCCTTAAATTTTTTCTTAAAAAAACTTCCATATACATCTTTATTCAATTATATTTCTAACTAATCTCCAAAAGTTGTTAATAAATATTTAATCAAATTCTTTCAATATTTTTTTTCAATTGACAATATAGTTAATTATGAGATGCGGATCTAGAATTTTAATTTGATGGGTTCAACCTTCAAAATTATGGGTTCAGAATCTTATATTTATCAAGGTTTTTCTTATTTTTTTTTACATATATATATCTATGTTACATGAAAGAAGTACAAAGTTCAGTTGAACCCGTAGCTCTAAGGCTACATGCTCCACTGCTAATCAATCACAAGGCTAAATTCGTGAATAAGTTTGCTGCCTGATCTACCCGAACTTGAAGTAATATAGGATGAGAGTGGCGGATCTCCAACATATTACTGGCCTTCCTGAAAGAAGAGCAATTCTAGGTGCTATTAAGGCCTTTTTTTTAATAGCAGGTTCAGTAGTCTTTTTGATAGTGGAAAAGGTAGCTGCTTGTTTTCGTGGATGCAAAAAATCAAGAGTCTCTTGACATTTTAAAGCTGTAACAATACCGGGTAAGCAGTAAAATCGGTAGTATTTTTGAAGGAAGAAGAAGAAGAAGAAGAAGCATCTACAAAATTCCACCCAGATTCCTTAGGGATGGCCTCCTCATTCTCCAATTTTTTCTCTCAACTTGTCTCTCTTCAAATTTGGGTTATAGATATCTTTAAAAAGATCAATTCTTGGCATGTCCCCAGAGAAAATAAATAGGCAGGGTAGTTTTGTAAGTTATTCCCAAAGAATCTCGTACCGAAGTTTTAGCATCTTTCTTTTGATCTCACTAATTTCTTTTATTCTTTCCTACTTTGAAAGTTTTAGACATGCATGAACCAATACAACTGAAAAGCTTAGCTGTTTATTCATATACTACTATGTAGGGGGAGCACTATGTGAGAGCTCTTATTGAGGATCATGAGACGACATGTTGGGGCTGTGGTCTTCGTGTGCTTGTTCCGCCATATGCACCTGCTTTCAAGTGTTTCTGGTGCGGAGCAATAACTAACCAGAATGCAGTTAAAATCGAGAACAAAAACTTTAAGTGGAGACGCTTGCGAGACCGGTGTTTTGTTGGTGTGCTCGTTGTCTTTATGTTATTTGTGATATGTAAGTGATTGAGCATTTATAATACTCCCTGCTTTTGTGATCTAAATATTTTCAAAACAACTAAATTTGAGTTAGATGTGCTCATAGCATTGTCTATCTTCTATATCTTCTTTTCTCCAATATGCCTGCAACTATAGGGATGGCAATAGGGCGTGGCGAGTCAGGGCAGGGCAAGCCTTGGCTTGCTAACATTTTGACCCGCCCTACCCTGCCCCATTTAGTATTTTCTCATATTTTTGCCTCGCCCCGCCCCGCTAAGCCTTGCCCTGTTTATGTTTTTTCATCATTTTTCTTTATTTTTTCTTTTACAATATTCTAAATTAGTTTCTTTAACTTTTTCAAATTTTATTTGGACCAATTTCATTAAAAGTTGTTAAAACTGATTAAATTGTAATCATGTGACTATTTGTCAATTTTAAAAAATTATTGTCAGAAAAAAAAGATATTTATCTAGAGGGGAATGTTTAAATTTTATCTCCATGTTGTATGCTTTAATGCCTTATTGAGGATAGCAAAGATAGTTGTTAAGACTTTATATAATATTTCTCTTTCAACTTAAAAAAATAACTTAAAGCTAACGCTATGAGCAACAGTGATATTATATATGTTGAACCTCTTGAAAACTTATATTTTAATATATTTTAGGGGGAGAATCTCAATCTTCTACAAAAGATTCCTAGCAATTGCTTTCGCAAGTCGTCTGTAAACAAAACAAACAGTTAATATATTTAATGCAAATCCACAAAACACAAACAAGAATGACAATAGAAAGTAGGGAGAGACGTGATAATCATTAAATTAAAAAGTCAAATAGATTAATACTGCAACTTTTACATATTCCAAAATAAAGTTTGCGTTGCCTAACCCNCGCCCCGCCCCAATCGCCATCCCAGCAGCCATTTATACTTTTTCATTTCCATCTGTAGAAGCTGTTGCTCCAATATGGAGTAGCTGGCATGGTTAATAATATATTAGATGTTATTGCTAAGAATTGACCTGTATCAAAGGAAATGTTGGTTTCTGCTTGAAATGGTTTGAGCATCTCATTCATGATTAGGGGTGGCAAACGGGCGTGTCAGGTTGGATATGAGCGGGTCGAAAACGGGTAATTCAAAAAACGGATAAATTATCCGACCCGGCCCATATTTAATACGGATAAAAAACGGGTTACCCGGCGAATAATATGGATATCCATATTATCCATGGCTTCTTTGAATATTATCACTTTTGGGAGAACTCCTAGTCTGCCAAACTTGAGGAACCCCCAACTTGAGGCTTTACAAATGTAAAAGTTAAACTCATTAGTTATCCATTTGGTTATCCATTTTCTAAGTGGATAATATGGTTCTTATCCATATTCGACCCGTTTTTAAAAAGTTTATCATCCAATCCATTTTTTAATGGATAATATGGGAGGATAACCGTTTTCTTTTAATCATTTTGTCACCTCTATTCATGATTCATTCTGATAAGAGGTGTGACACAATATGATTTCACACCGACACACGTGGCCTTAAACATCTCATAGAAAGTTCATTGACCTAAAGACCATATTGCTGTGTGTGATGTATGAACTGCAATACTAGTCAGCCATATAGTTCTTCATTTCCTACTTGATTATTGCAGAGTTACATATTGTTTCATGTTACAACAAGGTACTGAAGCATTTTCTTATATTATACTCAAATGATTCAGCCATATACATACGTATACATATGAAGAATGTCCTAAGGTAACTAGATCTCCTAATTCCTAGAAATCAGCTATAGTAATACAAGGAAAGATAATTATAGCCTAGTAAATAGAGATTCTGTAACACTCGTCCTCAAGCTGGAGCATAGATGTTTATCATGTCCAGCTTGTTACAAAGGTAATCAACCCGAGCTCCATTTAATGCCTTTGTGAACAAGTCAGCTAGTTGTTCTCCTATCTTCACATAGTTAGTGGAAATCAAGTTTTTCTGAATCTTCTCATGAATAAAATAACAGTCAACCCCAATTGTTTGGTCTTTCATGATAAACCGGACTTGAGGCTATATGGAGAGCAACTTCATTATCACATCAAAGTTTTGTTGGAGTAGGATGGCTCACCCCAATTTCAATTCACATGACCTCACATGTGGATTGTGCCATTGCTCTGTACTCGGATTCTGTACTAGACCGAAATACAACATTTTGTATCTTACTCCGCTATGATACCAAGTTTCTATCGACTAAGACACAGTAATTGGTAGTGGATCTTCTATCAATTTTGGATCCTACCCAATTTGCAACTACAAAACACTCAATGCCAAAATGCCCATAATTGCTATTTAAAATGCCAAGTCCAGGCGCTCCTTTTAGGTAACATAGAATCTGTTCCAGAGTTGCTCGATGTTGATTGTAGGTGCAGACATAAATTGGCTAATGATACTTATAGCAAAAGCAATATCTGGACGAGTCACAATGAGATAGTTTAATTTCCCAACTAGCCTCCTGTACCTCTTTGGATTATCAAAGGGGTCCCCTTATCATTCATTAGATGCACATTAGGAACCATTGGGGTACTACAAGGCTAGGCTGTCAACTTTTTAGTTTCTGCAGGTAGCTCAAGGATATACTTTCTCTGAGACAGAAAAATTCCTTTCTTGCTTATGGAAACTTCTACTCTGAAGAAGTATTTCAGATGGCCCAAGTCTTTCGTGTGAAACTTAGTATGCAAGAAAGACTCGAGAGAAGAGATGTCGCCACAGTCACTTCTTGTAATGAAAATGTCATCGACATATATAACAAGGAGGATAAGGCCGGCTACTGATTGCCTATAGAAGACCGAGTGATCACAATCTATGTTGCGCGGACTCTCCAAAATGTTGCTGCACCTGTGTCGGATTCTCCAAAAATGCACTACTTTTGAAGGATCCGACACGCACCCGGTTGATATTTTCTGAGAGTCCGAGCAACATAGATCACAATTGCTCTTTTTCAGCCCGAATTCCTGAACTACCTCACTAAACTTGCCAAATCAAGCACGAGAACTTTGCTTCAATCTATACAATGATTTCTTTAGATGACAAACTTTCCCGTGTTCCCCCTGAGCAACAAAATCAGATGGTTGCTCTATATACACCTCCTCGTGGAGATCACCATGAAGGAATGCATTTTTGATATCCAACTGGTGTAAAGACCAATGTTGAGAAGCGGCCAGAGAAATAAACAAGCGGATAAAGGCGAGCTTGGCTATTGGGAGAAGGTATCGGATAATCCACCCCATAAGTCCGCCTTAAATCTTGCAATAGAGCCATCAGGATTAACTTTAACTGCAAAGACCTACTTGCATTCTATTGCTTTCTTTCCTTTAGGTAAATCCACTAGATCCCAAGTGTGATGTTTATCTCCTCAAGCATTGCATCATGCCATTCAGGATAATCCAAGGCTTCTTTTACTGTTTTGGGTATAGAAATAGAATCCAGAGAGATAACCAAAGATCTAGATGCAGGAGAGAGGTAGTCATAAGAAACAACATTAGCAATGGAGTATATGGATTTGCATTGACGAATACCTTTTCGAAAAGCAATAGGATGTCCAAAATGTGCTTCAAATGGAGACACATACTGGAGTAGGCAAGAAATCGAAGGTCGTATTCTCCACCAGTAATTTGCTTCGTCTTAAGATCTTGAAACTAACAATGATCGGGAAAGAACGAGATATAACAATTAAGGTCTCTAGTAAGTTTACTAACATAAATCTAATTAAAGGCCAACTTTGTTAGACTTACAACAGATACTAGAGTAGTAGATGAGGTTAGTTTAACAGCTCATCCCACAACATTATAGGTTGTCCCATCAGCTACTGTCACCAGGAGAAGGTGCTTTGTGTGGTTGAAAATTAAAAAAGATATTAGGATTATCTGTTATGTGATTTTTGATACCAGAGTCAATCTACCCATTTGTTTGAAGAGGAGATAAGACAAGCTTTACTTCACTCAACAAGGGTAGGAACTGGAGTAGATTAGCTCAAGTGATTCTCGATACTGACAGAACTTTGCAAATTCATCCACTGAAACCAGAGCTGCTTTAGCACTACCCATCGTTTGTTTCCTTTCCAAATAATTACTCACACTACCAAAATAAATTGGAGGATCCACCAAAATTTCCCACAAATAGGAAAGCGCAAACAAGGAGTTTCGACCAAGTCTTATTCCACACAGATAAAATCACAAAGCAGAACTAGAAGAAACCTGGTAGTTGAGTGACATTATGCCGGGATTAAGGTACAGAAAAAGCACGTATAATACTGAAACCCAGCAATCGGACAACTCTCTATGCATAGGCAACCCACTATATCATTAACAAAATTAAAAAAAGAGCAGCCCGATGCACCAAGCTCCCACTATGTGCGGGGTCCGGGGAAGGGCCGAACCACAAGGGTCTATTGTACGCAGCCTTCCAAAATATAAAATCGATCCAATAGTAGGAATAGATCAGCAAGACCAAATGAGTTTCAACAAATATAATGAGATTACTTCAAATTTTCCCAAGATAAGCCTCAAATCGACCCAGAGAACTCGAAGTTGCAGTCACCGGCAATCTCCCAACAGAATATAGAATCAGATAAACCAAGTAGCAACAAAATCGAGTCCGAACCTGACAAATAAAGACCGGTAGACCTGGTCCAAGGTAGTTCTTCTCCAAAAAAGGTCTGTTGATCAGCGAACCACCATTACTAGGCCGGAATCTGCAAGACAACGGCGGACCAACAATGTAGACTAAGATTTGACCGTCCATGGGCCTCCACGCTCCATCGAAATTTGGCTGCATCAGATGGATTTTACAGGCACATGGGTAAAATATCTGCGGAGTCTACTTCTGTTTAAGTTGCCTTTGGCACATTTTGTTAGGTCCCAATGAAAGAGCCAATCTGTTCTGGTAATGACCTATATCACTAAAGAATCCATTGGGATTGGTTATTTCTCTGTGTAACAGAAAAAAGCGGGCAGGCTGCCAGACCGTGCGTGAATTCAGGCCGGACCAAACTCTTCTTTGTTTTAGTTGCCCCCAGGCACGCAGGTCGAGCACACGACGGAGAAATGAGATCTAGAACAAAAATCATAATGCAGGAAGTGAGAGCCAGCTCGACCATAGGAAGAGAAAGTGGCCATTAAGTGTTGATGGAAGGTAGCAGGAATTCCCTGGAATTAGTCGAGGTGCGAGAAAGCTGGCCCGGACACCACGGTTATCAAAAAAAGGAGGAAGGGAGGGGACAATGTGTCTGCTTATCATTGAAAATTGGAGCCAAACTTTCCCCTCTTTGCTCCCGTCAATCTCATTCTTCAGTTCTTGGCCTTTGTACGACATGCTTTCAAGATAAAGCTATAGATATGCAAAGGATGAAATATAAAATTTTCTTCTTGGCGTTTTGGAAAAAAAAATGGAAGTCTTTTATGATATTAATAGAATTGTGGGCTTTGTCAGTTCCTTATATAACTAAAAGGGGGGATTTTGCAACATATTTCTACATTTTTGGCACTTTCTTCTTTGCTGATTAGTTTTGTTTCTCAATAAAATCTTACCTATTAATCAAAATAAGATTATTCAGTAGCTTCTTAAGCTTTCATAGTTCAAACACGTGCAGCCTCTTGTACACTCAGCTTTGCATACTCATCTAGCAACGTTTTAGGCTTATATAGACATGCCCCTTATGCGGTTCTTGCAGTCCAGAGGTTGTTGAGACTTCTCATTAAACAGTGACCAAATATAATTCTTTCCTTTTTTTTAGGATCAGTTACTGACTTTATGGAGTTGCTAATTCAAAAGTTTGTCTGGGGAATGTAGCTCCTTAGACACATTGAAATCAAGGTGTCCCCATGTTGGGCATTGTCAAGTATGTATCGGCTATGTGTATATGATCAAATTTGGAACAAAGCTTGAACCACTTCACATAAGACCACAAGATAGCACCACGAATGTTATACGATTATGCGATCTATATAGTTTATTCACAATCTAAAAGAACATTACCTAAAATGAATTAGTGATTCATGATGATTACACCTGGTGAGATATTTTATTGAAAATCTAAATTGCTAAATGATGTAGGAATTGGAAGGTTTGAAGCCCCCTTGGAGTACATATTTATTTGAGAATGAATATATGCGTTTTGACGTTTAAGTATGTTTACTGAAGCCTAAGCAATCATTTACTGTCTGTATTATGACAACAGGTCGGATTCTAAGTCAAATGCATATTAAGTGGCAGCACTTTATTTAAAAATGATAGCTGTAGAGGCTAGGTTGGGTGCTCAAGTGTTATGCATATTTATACATAGATTTGTGAAATTGTTTGTCTGACAGTCAAACTTGCAATTTTATATTCAAGTTAGTGTAACTGTTTTGTTTGACATGCATTTATATTTGCAAGAAACACATAAGATGTTTGGCAACAACTTAGAAAAGGAACTACCACAGATCAAATATTAGGGCAGTTTGGGATTGGAAGAACATGTATAAACTGAAGAAGGAGAAGAATGTTATTGAACCCTTATCCTGGCTCTGAAGCTTGGTGCGTATGGCTATTATTATTATTATTATTGTGAGGATGGTGTCTGGCATTTTTTTTTGGTGAGAATGATGGTGTTTTTGCCTTTTTGGCAGTTGTATGTGCATTTGTACAAAGAACTATTTCAACGTTCTAACCTTTTCAAGTTCCAAGAAGCCATATTCCTATTTTTTTATGTACTTCTGTTGCGTTTATGTACCTTTGTATTGTTTTTTTTGTATCATGTCTATCCCTTAGAATCGGTCTACTCTTTGTACCAATCAGCTCTTTTCCTCTACTTTTTTCTTAGTCTGGTCATTGAATGCATCTAAATCTTGTTTCTTGCAACATTATATGGAATTATTCTCCTAATTAGAGATTTCGATATCTCTGATCGGTTTCTGTTTGTGTATATCTTCTTGTACCACGTTGCATTTAAATATATTAATACTTCATTGCAGCTTTAATCTCAATTTTGGTGCTGGATCTAATACTTATAAGTTTATTTAGCTTTCTGTTTTGATTCTTTTTTTTTTTTTTGGTAGTGCAGGTGGTGGTGTTTGGGCAATTTATCCTATAATATTTTCTATCAGTTACTTCTGCAGTAGTGTTCACTCTTTAATTGCTGTAGCATTGTCCATATCTACCTTGTCTGCATTTAGCCTTGCTGCATTTAGATCTGCTGGTGCTCCACCAGACATACTCTGGGGTAGCTATCCTGCTGTTAAAAAAGGTGGGCTTGAGAATTATACTTTTTGTCAATATTGTTCAAAGCCAAAGACGCCTAGGGCACACCATTGCCGTTCTTGTGGAATGTGTATACTGGATATGGATCATCATTGCCCAATTGTAAGTTCTCATTATTCTTTTGCATTTTCAAGAAGATGTTTGTCTTTTAGAATGTTACACATTTGAATTTATCTGCTTCCAGTACGAAATTTGTGAAATTTTAGAAACTAGGAGAAAATGACAATCATAACTTGCAGGTAGATTGCTCTGAGAGTTTCCCTAAAAATGCATCATATCATTAAGTAGTAGTTTCTTCATTTTTTAAGGAATTCTGATGTGAGAAATCTTTAATCGCCGTGATGGACTTTTGTAAGACTGATTATAATATATTAGACGCTTGCAAACAAAATGCAATATCTTAGACCTCACTAGCAAATCGTTTCTTTTAACTTAATTTTATGAAGATCGACTTTTCACTTAAATCTATCCCCCGACTTCCCCACTCCCACCACCACACCCCACAAAAGGAAAAACTAATTGAGAGGCAAATGTCAACTTTCCATAGATTAAACTTGGCGGTCATTGGCTGCATTTTGTTGAAATATTGCCTCCATGTCTGGGAGCTCCTTCTTCATACCATCACATTCTGTTTATCGGAAGATTTTTGCTACTAAGTATTCACTTCTGTCTTTTAGACTAGTCAACTATGAGAAACTTGAATGTTTTTTTGCAGTGATCTTTTATGCTTAATCAACTGAAAATAATTATATAGAAAAAAAGAAACTCAAATTATATAGAGTAATGAATGTTCTTCTTTTGTTGCACCAGATTGGCAATTGTGTTGGTGCATCTAACCACAGGAGCTTCATCATTTTCCTTATTTCAGCAATCATTAGCACAATATATGTGTCCATCATGTCTGCCTATGCAGCTTTTCATTTTTGGGCGCCGCTAAGCCACAAGCCAATTCACCTTTTGAACGAAGCTGTTGGTCAAAAGTTGTTTTTGAGAACCTTGAAAAATGTCATATTTGCATTTCTCGAGTCTACATTGTTCGTACCCGCGAGAGGGCTTGTTCTTGTGTACCTTTTTATTGCTAGTGTTTCTATCCTGATAGGTTTAACTGTGCTGCTGTGGCAGCAACTCTGCTTCATATATGAGGGTAAGACATACTTGAGTCATATAAGTTCATCAGAGGGCGATGAAACTGCAGAAAAGGATTGCCAAAATCTTATCCAGTTCTTTGGCTGTTCTCCTACGACGACAAGATTTTTGCCTATCTACTTCAGTTCTAGGAAGAAGCATAAGAAGTGAAGCTTGGGGAGGTGAACCGATTTCTCCTTTGAATGTTTCTCATCAATTGATTCTTTCTTTGGATTGGATCATTCAGATAGATGCAAATAATGTCATGCAAAATAGATATAGAATAGAACATCTCTTTGTTCAGTTTCTCAGGTAGCCATTTTACCTACATTTCTCATATATCTTTTTCTTGTAAGTTTACAATTTGGCTAATGACCAGATGACCTGATAGCTGAAACAGTTGAAAATTTAGCGGTGTACACTTTGGCCGCTCAGAACTACTTCGTGCGCCTAACACTCGTAACCTCTGCTTTCGGGAAAGGGAAAAGGGTCAAATATACTCCTCTACTTTCAGATATTGTCTAAATTTAGTCTCCGTTACAATATCGGGCCAAATTTACCCCTACCATTATACTATCAGGCTAAATTTACCCTTACAGTCGGCAAACTTTGAAAAATTATCCCTCAGTCTGTCAAGTGACCCAGAATCTCCCAAATCATTTTAATTTACTGATTCTTCTTCTTGGTCCACTATTTTTGAAATAATTGGCATTTACCTGCTTTCTGAATTAGAGAAAACAAATATTAAACAATACAACTGTCAATAAACAAAATATAATAAATTGAAAAATGTAAATTAGGTAGCTTGTCTGAATCCTAAAAGTATTTACAACATCCCAATTTTAATGAATTCATTGCACCAAATGTATGGAGACTTTGCAAGTATTAGTGATTGGAGTTGAAGTTCCTCGAAGACTTTACATTGTCGAATTCAACTTTGCTTTAATCAAATGCCTACACATTGTGCACTCTTAAGTTAGTCGATTGAACTCTATACTAATCCGACAATGACAAAATATATTTGAATATACATGTACGTATACGATTATCAACTACATATAATACGTAATAAATAGACCCACTGAATTATACGGTGTGTATATGATTGAAAAATAAATAAAATTTTAAACCAATTCCAAACTCATTATTACAAGAGAAGTGGGTGCGTTGGTAATTAAAATATTTATGAATAATTTGTATAGTCTAGTAACTTTAGCATACACATCAATAGTAATTTTTTAAAATAGTGGAGTAAGAAGAACAACAAGTAATTTAAATAAAAGAAATTTGGGAGATTTTGGATTACTTAAGAGATCAATGGGTAATTTATAAATGTTTGCTGATGAGAAGGGTAAATTTGGCGAGATAGTATAGCGGTAGGGATAATTTGACCGAATAATATAACTAAGGTTAAGTGTAGACAATATTCCAAAGTAGAGAAGTATATTTGGCCCTTTTTCCGACAAGGAAATGTCAAAATTCTTATGATTGTTTTGTAAAAAACTAATTCATGAAAAAATATCTTTCGAGAAAGAGAGAATTGCATAAACCTACATTGAGGTCTGCACTGCACTTGTCTCACACACCTGGGGCATTTGTATCTATACCCACTTTTTGTGTCACGTTTTAACTTGTGCTTGTTTTGTAAAAAAATTGCAAGCGTATCCGCTTTTTCGCATAACTTCAGCATACGGGGCTAAAGTAGCAAAGGCAATCACGCAAAACTTCAGCATTCTAGTAGCTGGGCCTTAAGTTTAGCTCTAGAGCTGAAGTTAAGTTTTTGTTTTTGTAACTGGCGAACTTCAGCTCTAGAGCTGAAGTTTTTGTTTTGTAACTGGCGAACTTCAGCTCTAGAGCTGAAGTTTTTGTTTGTAACTGGCGAACTTCAGCTCTAGAGTTGTAACTGGCGAACTTCAGCTCTAGAGCTGAAGTTTTTGTTTTGTAACTGGCGAACTTCAGCTCTAGAGCTGAAGCACCACAATTAGCAGTGATTTTTTAAGAAAAATAGTGTATATCTTCTCGGCTCAAACACGAATAAACATACAAAAACTCCAAAATTTTACAGCTCATCCTATTGGTAACTTAAACTTTCTCCTAAGACTAATTTGCTGTAAATTTGGAGCAGAAGTACAACTGCCGAACTGTTCAATTAAAAAAAATTGACCTTATAACTAAAGCAGCGTTGCTTCTGGAGATAAATACCAGTTTGTTTTGTAACTTGAAGAAGAAAACGAAGGAGGAGAAGGAGGAGGAGAAAGGGGGCTGAAGTTATTTAAAAAGTGGGTACAAATTAAAAGTTTTAAAAAAAATAGGTATAGGTTAAATGTGGCGACTAAATAAGGCGCCCCGTGCAATTTCTACCACACACCTTCGTTGTGGTTTGAAATGCCACATAAACCAGCTTTCTTCATTTTTTAAGTAAATAAACTAAATTAGACTATACAAAGAAGTGAGTTTGTCTGTTATCTTTTAACTTTATTCTTTTGCGTAGCAGAGAATATATCATCATGTTTTAGCCCTTAGGGTTTTGGTCTAACGGTAAGAATACAACACAGAGATGTGCGGCTTAGGCGCATGTCATGGTTTTGAATTCTACTGCAAAGAAAAATTTGATATTTAAGTGGAGAAATAATGTAAAAAGGTATATTTATTATCCACTAAATTTTGAACTGGCGACACTGGACCTTGGGTGATTTCTCAATTATAGAAAAAGAAAGATATTGCCATATTTTATTGGGTGATGAATCCTCTCAAATATTTGTTGGTTAATTAAGAAGATAAATAAAAGTAAAACTAAAAAGTATTGCAAATTAAAATAAGAAAGAAATGTTTAAAGGAGCATATTGTTTTTTCTCTTTTATTCTGTAATTTTCTTATTTTAATTTTTCTCTAGATCTAAGTAAAAGCTAGAAAATTAGATTAAAAAAATGGGGTTTTGACACAGTTACCCACAAAAATAAAACTATTTATGCATGTCTACCCATTTATTTTTCTACCCATAGACTAATTACATTTCCTACTCATGATAGGTTTTATGGGGAATTTTTTCTTTATTCTCCAATTCTTTTTTTTATTTCTATGCTTCTTTTTTTTTCTTTTTTCTTTTTTTTCTTTTCTCCTTTTCTTTATTCTCGTTTTCTTCTTATTTTTTTCTTTTTTCCTATTCTAATTTCATTTAACTTTTTTTTTATATTCTTTTTCTCTTCATAATCTAATTTTATTTACTATTTTCACTATTTTTAATTATTTTTTTATATTATTACTAAAGAAAAATTAAATTGTGTACCAATTAAATGTAGCTAATACAACCAAAAAAATATTAACTAACATATGATACCAGTATAGTATATAGTTATACCAATAGGGTATAGAATTGTACGCAAAGAGTTAAAAAAAGTTTAATTCAATTATTAAACTGAAATAATATCAGTTGTCAATAAAAATTTCAGAAAATTCTAAAAGGATCTAATTGTAAGAGTATACCGTTACATTATATAGCATACTATAATATTTATTTATTTTTTGCATTTTTAAATTGCCTCTCACGCTGGGTAAAAGCTTAAATAAATTAAAAGAAAAAATGCAAGTGGATTTACGGGTAATAAGTATACTATTATAGTAGATTGTATACTATTACAGCATATTGTTACAGTATATTGCATATTATTACAGTATATTATAACAATATATTGTATACTACAATAGTATACTATTGCAGTATAACTATATACTCCTATAGTATATCGTATACTGTAGCGGTATACTGTTAGGTAACTGTATTTGCAGTATAGCTATATACTCCTACAACATATTGTATACCGTAGCGGTATACTATAGCTGTGTTCTTCTTCGATTTTCAACTGAAAATTTCAATCTCAATCACCTCAAATCAACTCCAAATGCTACCAAATTTCAGTATGAACCTCCAGAAGGTACTATAAGCAATATTTAACAGCACCCACTTTGAATCAAACAAGAAATCTTCAAAAATAAAATTGAGCTTCAAGCCCAACAATGGTGGATATTCAAATACACACAAATATTTAGATCTGGGAAGCTTACTCGAAGATACTATAAGCAATATTTTATAGCATCACATTGAATCAAACAATAAATCTTCAAAATAAACTATTTTCTTCCTTAAAACTTTACTGTAACATATAAATTGAAAGTAAATACTAAAAAGAGATAGAGACAGAGGGGGGTTGAGAGTGGGCGAGAAGTTGAACTAATGTTTTCGGAATAGGGTTTTGACACAGTTGGAGAGTTGAGCAAGGTATTGGAGGAAGGTAAAATGAGGAAGAAGAAGAAGAGGAACATAATAAAGCGGGTAAATAGTTTGGAGGGAGAAATTCAAAAATAGCTTGATTTACAACTGGTCATTCAAAAATAGCCCAGTTCCAAAAGTAATAGAAATTTAGCCACTTTTCATGTAAAGATAAATCAGAGCGAAAACACTATTCAAAATCCGGAAAATACGCCAGTATGTTATACTGGAGTTCCAGCATAAGTATGCTTGAACTCCAACATATTATATTGGAGTTCCAGGATAAGTATGCTGGAACTCTAGCATAATATGATGCAGCAAAATAGTGGCTATTTTTCATTGATTTTGTAAACGCTGGCTATTTTTGAATGACCAATCCGAAAACTAGCTATACCGTGTTATTTTTACTAGTTTGGGGCACATAGGTAGAAGTAATAAATAGTTTGGGCATGAGCATTAAAGGGTAAATAGTTTGAAATTAATAGGTATAAAGTAAGATTTTCTCTTAAAAAAAGAAAAGAAAATACAAGGTCCAAAAAAAGATGACATGTGTGAGGTCCGATACCCTTTCCAGACTGATACAGTAATGAAGCCTGTCAAACAACTACATTTATAATTCAAGACTTACATCAAGAAATCATCCTGAATCTAAAAAGTTAAGCTTGAGAATGTAAAATTAAAAAAAGCAGCCCGGTTCACATAGTATTCCGCATTTATACAGGGTCCGGGAAAGAGCCGCATCCCAAAAGGTGTGATATAGGTAGCCGACCATGATATTTGCTAATTTTACGGCTTGAACCCATTACTTATAGATCACACGAAGACAACTTGATTGTTTATTGCAATGCTCCCTTCACAATGTAAAATAAAAGAGAAGATTAAATATTATAATATTAAATGTCAACTTTGGAAGATTGTTAGAGTTTGACGAAGTAACTTTGTGAAAATGGTGAAGACTTACAGAAACCAAATTAAGTTTTTGAGAACTGCATGTAATTAATTTTTCCAACACCAAACTTATAAAGTCCTTATAATCTACGTATTATAATTCAATTAAAACTCAACATTTAAATGGACATAATTCTTAAAACTTAGATAAATAGAAGCTCAAAAGATTTAAACGCATGAACCGTACACGAAGATTTTCACTGTCCGTTCAATTATCATCATCAAGTACTTTAGTATTTAAACTACGGATTCTTTTTCGCGCTTCGCACAATCATAAAGGATTTAAATATTATTGTTCTAATATCCGAATAATAAAAATATATATTAGTGGTCATATTTAAATATATTAGATTTTTAAGTTTTCATTATTGAAGTTGTATTATCTTCTAAAGATAGTTCATCCTTTTGGATAACCTATATAGGTGAAATTATACCTTTCTCTCGCCTTTTACCTTTTCCCTTTTTCTTTTATCTTTTTTTCTTACTTCCCAACCCATTCAACTTTCCAAAAAGAAAAAAATTAAATGATAAAAGTTGAACTCAAATATAATTCTCAAGAAGTAGTCAAGCCTTCTCAAAAATTAAATGGTAAAAGTTGATATTGCCAAGGCTTAGACGTATTCCCATGAGACCATAAAAGAATATATTATTGGCTCGCTCACAATATTTGTTATATTGCTCAAGTATTATTCTTTTATCTTCAAAAAACGCACAATGTTAAACTATAATAAAGAATTCAAATATCAAGAAAAATAAAGAAAATCACTTTTCTTTGTTTTGATTTTGTTCGAAAGGTCCCTCTTATTCAATTCATTTGAGAAAAAGAAGGAAAAACTTCACATTTAGTTTAACTGCTAAGTATGAACATAAGAATTGAAAGATATTTAGGATAAAGTTTTCATATTACTTTATAGGAAAGAAATTAAACTTGAGTCCAAAATTTGCAAAAGTCTATTAACTACGAAATCAATTGGCATGTTATCACTAATTTTATTACTTTTCTTTCTCTCCTTCTTCCGTGTTTTCTCTATGTTTTCCTTTTTCTTTTTCCCCTTATTTTCTTTTCCTTTCTTTTTTTTGTTTTTGTCTAAATTGGCGTTCCCTCCTTCATGGTACAATATGCTTCTTTTCTATTAGTATTTCTTTTCCTTTTCAATTTTTTTTCTTTCTCTCTTCCCCCATCAAGACCATTCAATCGATCAAACAACTATTTATATTTTTTTCCTAATTCTCTGTATGAAAGTTATCTTCTTTTCTCTATTTATCTAAATCTTCTTACCATTGTGAAATTTTATCACCCTTTTTATATAAATTCAATGAAGAGATCGCAGTGTTTTAAAAAAAAAATTCACTGCAGTAACAACATATATGCATAAAAAAAATTTAAAAAATTACCAATGCTTCAATAAGAAAGTCTAAAGGAAAAAGCAAATACATGTAATAGATGAATAAAATCTTGAATCTCAAATTTTTCAAAACCTGCTCTAAATTCCTGGCCTCTCCTCCCTTTTTTTGTATGGAAGATTGAACTCTAACATTACACCGTAACATTGGTTTCTTTTCCAAATCCAAGTCTGGGTTCAGATAAACATTTCTTTGTTGGGTGTATATATCGTCTGTGTATTAATTAAGCTTTATGAAGAGTAAAATGAGTGAAAGATTGATGGAGAAGTGGAAGAGTGTTGCAGTGGTTTACCACTTTATACGCTACAATTATATTCACTTTTGTAACTTTCTATCTGTTGGCATCCTTCCAATTGCAATGGTAATTTTTATTAATTATTGTGGCAACCGTTCCACAATTTTTGGAAGACCATGGCTTTTGAAAACATAAATAGCAATTAAATGAAAGTTTTGTTGTGATGACCCAAAAGGGCTTAAAATTGAATTCTGCATTCCGAGGCCTTAAAAATCTCTTTTAACATCACCTCGATTTGCGTGCGTAGTCCGGACGTGAAGCCGGAAAGCCTATATGTAAAAATCTGTGAAAAATGATAAATTTTGACTTAAAATATATTTTAGTTGACTACGGTCAACATTTTGGGTAGACGGACTCGGACCAATGATTTGACGGTCCTGGATGGTCCGTGAAAAAATATGGGACTTGGGCGTATGCCCGAAATCGAATTTCGAGGTCCCAAGCCCGAGAAATGAATTTTTAAAGAAAAATATTTTCTGGAAATTTCTATGAGTTTTGGAAATGAAATGCATTTAGAATTTGATGGTATCGGGCCCGTATTCTGGTTTCGGAGTCCGGTACAGGTCTTATATGTGAAATAAGATAAGTTTGTGAAAATTTGGTAAGAAACGGATGTCATTTGACGTGATTCGGACCTTAAATGCAAATTTTGATGTTTTAAGAAGTTTTGAGAAATTTTATTGATTTTGAGGTTTAAGTCGTTGTTTAAGAGGTTATTTTGGCGATTTGATCGTACGGATAAGTTCATATGATGTTTTTGAGTTAATACGTATGTTTGGTTTGGAGCCCCGAGGGCTCGGATGAGTTTCGGAAGGTTTTTGAACCCATAAAAATTGCAGGTTCTTCAGTTTCTGGTGTGCTGGTATTTTCTTCTTCGCGTTCGCGGGAGGACCCTCGCGAACGCGATGAGTTATTTATGCTGAAGGAAATTTCCTTCTACGCGAACGCGAGACCCAGGTCGCGAACGCGAAGCTTTGGGAGGTTTCTCTTCGCGAACGCGAAGGCTTATGAGCCTGGGCAGGGGGAGGGGTATTATACCTATGCGAACGCGACCACCTGGACGCGAACGCGAAGGCTCGAGGAGTTAGTGCTCCGCGAATGCGAGCCCATTTGTGCGAACACTAAGGTCTCTCAGGCCTAGCTTATCACGAACGCGATGAGCCTATCGCGAACGCATAGACCAAATTCGCCCTTTTATTTTTAAGTTCAAAAATAGAATGCATTACGGGAATTTCACCATTTTTCATAAACTTCATCTTCTCCACACCTCTTGGGCGATTTTTGAAGAGGAAATTTACCATAGCTTCATAGATATGTAATCCTAAGCTTGTTTTCTTTCATTTTTATCAATACCCACTAGATTTCTAGGCCTAAAACATGAGATTAAGGGTAGAAAATTAGGGATTCAGGTAGAGTTAGGGCTTTTTGATTATTTGAAAATTTGACCTCATTTTGTGGTCGGATTTCAAAACAAATTATATATTCGGGCTCATGGGTGAATGGATGATCGGGTTTTGGTCCGAACCGACTAAGTAGGCCCGGGGTTGATTTTTAACTTTCTGGGAAGAATGATTAGAAAGCTATAATTAAGCATTGGAATTGGATTGTTTAGTGTTTATTGATGTTATTAAATTGATTATGTCTAGATACAATTGATTTGGAGCCGAATTCAAAAGAAAAAGCGGTGTTTGAGGCTTGAGTTGGCCGTGGAAGTTCGAGATAAGTGTTTGGTCTAACCTTAGCTTGAGGGATTAGTAGAGTTGTTCACTGTTTGACAGAAAACCGATCCAAACCGAAAACCTAACCAAACCTATTAAGTAAACCAATATTTTTCTTGATTTGGATTGGTTTTGGTTTAAAAATATAATAATTATTGATATATAATATAATATCTTTTGGTAAATAATTTTAAATACTTTATGCATTTTAATTATTATTTTGAATTTTGATTTATCCTATTTATATCTTAAAACATTGCCTAAGCCCAAAAGAATAGGAATCGGCCAATTTTCTTTTCCTTAAGAGAATCTAATTCTCTAACCTACACAGATACTTTTCCTAATAAAAGAGTTAGAAAAAAAACCTATGACAAGAGTAAAGAAAGCAAACTCAAATTGCAAGACTATAGTAGCTAAAGCTTGAGAAAGTAAACTTTTAGTTTGTTTTTTGTTCATTTTTTCGTATAAACAGGTAAATAAACTTTCAGTTCCGAAATAAATATATAAAAAAACATAAATTTAGCAAATTATTTTCAGATTGTTGTCTAGTGTTGTTTTATTATTATCGACTTATCATTAACTTAATAGGAACCGAAAAACCTAACCAAACCAACAACAACCAAACCGATGGTTTGTTTGTAATTTGGTTTGGTTTTAAAATTTTAAAAACCGATTAAATTGGTTTTGTTTTGGTTTTAATCAAAAACCGGCCAAACCGAAGCGTGAACACCCCTAGGGATTAGGAGTTGTTTCTATTTGTTACGTGTTAATTGTGGAGTACGATGTATAGGCATGGTGACGAATATCTATACGTCGGTGTCAAGCATGCCCGTGAGTCTTGTGTTATAAATGGTTATGACTCTATTGTGGTTTATTGTGCCTCCCATGTTATTTTGATATTATAGTTCCCTTGCCGAGATGTTGTTGAGATATTATCGTTCCCTTGCCGGGATATTGTTGAGATATTATTGTTCCCTTGCCGGGATGTTTGTTTGATATTATTGTTCCTTTGCCGGGACTTCTCGTGATTATTGTAGACATGTAATTTTTGACCCTCCCCGAAATTTTATACCTTTTAGTGTTTAGATGTTGATTTTAGGCCTAATAACGCCATTTTAAACTTTTTTTCATTTTGCTTTATTCAATTTAAGAAAATTTAAAAAAAAAACACAAAAAAGAGTCATGCTTTTAGATACTAGTTTTATTTAATTTTTTTGGTTACAAAATATAGAAAAAGCCTCCCAAACTATACATATTTATTTTAATCTAGTTTAACTTCAAGTAGGAGGCTCTATCGAGTAAATATCGGGTAATTAGTGTTTTGTCCTACAATTTTTGATTTAGGTATAGTATCTAATTTTCCTATTTATTACTTTAAAAAGAAATTTATACAAATAAAAACAAAAAAATAAAAAAAAACAAAAAGAAGAAAAGAACGAGACTCAATTATAGTTGGCCATGTGCAGAAACTTGGTTTTTGGGTTGATTTTTATTTTTCTTTCTTGCTTCTTATCCAAAACCATGTACATATGCACATATATTTATCCATAGAAAGAGGATAACAGAAAGATTCTAACAGAAAATAATTCTCTCACTCACATGCTCACGTTTTGGCACTATTCTCACGGACCTCTCCTCCCATACCAACACACTCTATAAAAACAGAATAAAAAGGGAGAGAAGTGGACGGAAAACAAAAACTGAGGGAGGGGAATAACGAAAGGAAAAAAAGAACGAAAAAAGAAGGCAGCAGCCGAAAATAGCTGCGCAAGGAACAATACCCACCCCCTCGTCATCGTCTTGTTCAACCCCTCCCCATTGTTCTGTTTTCTGCTTCTACCAAAAACGATTCCCCCCACCATGGACTGATCTTCCTTAGTCGTTGAACACCCAAAGAACGACCTCCTCATCTAACCATCTTCTTCCATCAACAAAGACCAAAGACCAGCAGCTACACCATAAAAAGCCAACGCCCAACACCACCCTTGAAGACGCCAAAACACAGACAAAAAAAGAAAGAAAGGAAGCAGCATCAGCCAAACAACGACCATTCTGTTTCGGACTTTCAATTTGGAATCCGATGGGGTTCGATTAATGTCGAGGTGCTGTTCGAGGTTCATTCGACATCCGCGTTTCATTGGCAAAGCTCTGTTTGAGGTCTGTTTTCTAAAACATTGCTCTTAATTTACATGTAATGTTCGTCCTTGTGTATTTTGACATCAAATGAAGTTCTGGTTGTTTTTTACACAATGGTATGCGTATGACTTTTTAGTCTACGATTTTCCTTTTATGATCAATGTGTATGTTTACTCATGAGTTTGTTTGCCTTTTGTGTCGATTTTGATCCGCATTTTTCTGCCTATTCTTGTCTTGAGTCACATCACAATGCATTCTCATTTTTAACTTCACAGATGTTATGGAAAATGTGATGAATTTGGGGATCAACTTATTAATGTGATGTGGAAGGTACTCCTCGTCTTCTGCTTGAAATTTAGTGAACACCATGTGTGCTCATATTTAACTTCATGCACGTCAGGGAGAATTTGATGAACTTGTTTACCAAGGAAAGTTGGTTTTCTGTTTGGAAAAGAATGAAGCTCAAGATTTGGCATAATAAGTGTTTGGTAGGACTTGTGCTCAAGAAGAGAAATTCAACGTATCTATATCGCCTAATTCTGTGCCTAATGATTGGGGAATGTTGTCTATGTAAACTATGTATAGTTCTCATGGTTGGGATTCTTATTCTTGGGGTTTCTTGGCTGAGGCTAATGAAATTGATACTGTGATTCTAAAAAAAATGAAGTTATGTGCTGGTTGGGAAGTATTTCTATTATTGTGGCTATGGGTACGGTTCCCGTGGCATGGCCCCAATGCATAATTCCAAATTCGGGTGCACATTTATGTGATCCAAATTCAAATCTCAACAACATTAGATAAAATGTGTTGCGGACTGCGGGTGCATTTATGTGACGTGGTTCAAAACGCGTTTTATGTGACGTTAAATCTTCCTAAAAATTATTAAATAAAAGCGGTTTAAATTTAAAATTGCACCATAGGCCAAAACATGTACTGAAATCAGGTAATAGGCCAATTATAACAGTTGAGCGACCGTGCTAGAACCACGGAACTCAGGAATGCCTAACACCTTCTCTCGGGTTAACAGAATTCCTTACCCGGATTTCTGTGTTCGTGGACTGTAATACAGAATCAACCTTTTCCTCGACTCGGGATTTGAATCGGTGACTTGGGATACCATAATTATCCCAAGTGGCAACTCTGAATTTAAATAAAATAATCCCGTTTCGATTGTCACTTTAAGTTGGAAAAAAACTCCTCTATATCCCCTTTCGGGGGGTGTAGGTAAAAAGGAGGTGTGATAGCTCTAGCGACTCTGCTGGGGATAAGAACCCAAAACTTCTGGTTCAGGGTTCAGAATTCGAGCTTAGATGAATTGTTATATTTGGCTTTATTTATTATCTGATTTTATTACATGTTTGGGCCTAATGTGCTAATTGTCATTTACCGCTTTGATATTGTTTGAATTGTATATAACTGTCTTCTTACGCTACCCCTCTGAGTCTTTTGGAAATGGTGCACACGTTCGCGTGACCCACTTTTTCTGTAGAAATTATACCAAATAGAACGAGGCTGGGCAAGCGACAAGGACGGGTAGACTTTAGTGCTCCCGGTACGTCGTTCCCTCTTCGGCCCCAGTTGTCCGCTCTGGTACCCCAAGTCTAGACCAAAACCCCAGGATTTAAACCTAGAAAAATAGAGCTTCATGCCGGATCCCTAGTAGGAGCGTTTGTTTGCATCATGTGCATTTGACTTAGGGGACTCAACACATGGGTTGGGTCCGTCTAGGACAAGTGTACCCAAATTAAAAGACCATCCTGATGCATCTTACGTGCCACTTGCGTATCTGTCTGTTTTGGCCTGCATGTTGACTGGCTTCTAGAATAGGGAAAGAAAATGAAAAAAAAAGAGAAAAAAGAAAATAAAAAAAAGGAGAAAGAAGAAAAAATAAAAGAGAGTGAGAGGTAGGTATTTGAATTACCCTAAAATTCTGTTGAAATTTTGAAAAAAAAAAAGAAAAGCCATTTCAAAATAAGTCATATTTTTCTGTTGCGTCAAAACGGGCGAACTATGCGGGTTTGATTCTCACCGGATGTGAGATACGTAGGCAAACCTCATCGGTTCCGGCCCACCATTTTCAAAAAATCCAAAAATATTCTCCTTTACTTCCTTCTTTAAAAAAGTCTTTCTTTAAGACCCCAATTTTCTTTTTTTTTTTTAAAAAATCCAAAAATATTTTCTTTTAATTTCTTCTCAAAATCCAAAAATATTTTCATTCTTCTTTCAAAAATTGAAAAGAAAATTCACGATTCAAAAATATTTTCTTTAGAAGTCTTTCTTTCACAATTTTAAAATAAAAGTCCAAAAATTCAAAAATATTTTCTTTTTCTTTAGAAGTTTTTCTTCGAAATTCCAAAAAAGAGGTCAATATTCAAAAAAATATCTCTTTTCTTTAGAAGTCTTTCTTTGCAAAAATTTTGAAGAAGAATCAAAATCCCAACAATATTCCCTTTCTTCTTTATAAGTCTTTCTTTCGATAAAATTCAAAAAAAGAAGCTAGTTTATTTAATTTATTCTTAATCTTCTCGAACTACGCAAGATCTGATTCATGTTCCCACATGATACGTAGGCAACCCACATCAGGTTTGATCAACCATTGAAAAGAAAAATGAAAAAAAATAAATAAAAAAAAAAAGAAAAAATGAAAAACATAATGAAAAATATTGATAATAATAAGGACCGACTGAGTCCATTCTAACATGTTTTGTTTTGAATTGTGCAGAAAGTTGAGGTAGTCGGTTTGTGGTAAGCTGGAAACACAAGCTCCAAGGAAAATAATAACTGACATCGAAGCTGTTACAAGTGCTCAAGAGACTCAGGGTCAGAGGGTTCAACAAGAGTCTACTGTGTTTGAGAAAAATAAAATACTGAAACAGCAAATGACCGAAATGTGTCAAGCATGGGCCAGTGGTCAAGGACAACCTCGTCATGAGTCACAATTTGCTCCACAACAAGAGCAGTACCACTCTCCTGAGTACCACTCGTACTCGTTTGATCTTCCTGCAAACATTGAGAAGACTGCCCGAAAGATGGTATATGAAGAAATGACCTAAAGAGTGAAAAGCTTAGAACAACGGTTGAAAAACATGCAAGGGTTGGCAGGTCAAAATAGTGTTGCCTTCAAAGATCTATATATGTTACCCGATATCCACTTGCCTCCTGGTTTCAAGACTCCCAAATTTGAAAAGTATGATGGACATGGAGACCGCATAGCCCACCTGAAAAGGTATTGCGATCAACTGAGAGGTGCGGGAAGAAACGAAGAATTGTTGATGGCCNTGTCCAACCACCAAAACACCCCAGAAGGCGAGCACGAGCATCACGAAATCTCCAACAGCCTCCAAAAAGATTTCAGGTGCCCTATAACCCATATCCAAGCCAGAGGTATAAAGGGGAACAAAGGTTGAAAGATGATTTTACACCAATAGGAGAGTCCTATGCAAGTTTATTTGAGAAGTTAAAACATTGTGGAATGATTGCACCTATTCTTCCAAATCATGTGGACCCACGTGCGAGAAGCTTTGACCCTTCTAAATGGTTTGAATACCATTCCAATGCCCAGGGGCACAATGTTGAAAGTTGTCGGGATTTGAAAAGAGAAATAGAAAGGATGATCCAGGAAAATCTGATTGTGATCCAAGACAGTGACACCCAGAATATCGCGTAGAATCCTTTACCTGCACATCATGATGCACACTTTGTGGGGATGATGCCTGGTGACATGGAGTTTGAGAATCCTCTCGGGAGCTTGCTAACTGAAGTTAATGATGTTGAAATTGGAGAAGGCTCTGCTGATTCTGATGAGCAAATTTGTGGCTAACTGTCAAGCCTAGTAATTGAAAAGCCATTCCCTCCTCACTAGGAAGGAATCTTGGTAGCTCGTTTTGATGTTGTTTCTATTATCTGGGTTATTTCAGGGTTGTAATCCAGATTTATTTGTTTTATTGAGTCAAACCCTTCTATCCCTCCATTATGTTTGTATGAGTCTTGTCTGTCTGTTCTGTTGCTATTTTTATTATTCGGGTTATTTTAGGGTTGTAATTCGGATCTTGGGTTGTTTGTCTTGTTGTCAAATCCTTTCATCCTTTACTCAATAAAACATAGTTTGTCCTTTTGTGTCATTTTGTTCCTAGTTCTTTTCTCGCTAGTTCCAATGACATGACATGCATGCGAAAATTTTGGCCAGATCTTAGAAACTGATTTAATATGGAATTGGATAATTGAAAAAAAGATACTTTTGAGGATGAATAAAGAGTTGAGATACTTTGGAATTGAGGTCGAGTAAAATTCACCTTCAAATCATGGTGAAGATCGGGCTTGAGGATGTTTAATCAATTGAAGTTTGTTGGAAAGTTTGTCATTAATGGATAGAAAGTGTCTTGTGACCACGACACACCAAGAAGACATACATGTTCGTCAATGTTGTGATTGCGAAAAGATACCATGTTTGACGTTCTCGAGGTTGGGAGACCCTTTTTCTTCTACCCAAACACTTTATACCCTTTGTTACCCCTTCTGAACATGTGTTATTTTCTTTGACCACCCTCTTTTGGAATCAAGTTTAGAGTCAGGAGTCAAAAAAAATAAAAATAAAAAAAGAAAAAGAAAAGAAAATTCCATGCCCCAAGAGTACGAACTGGGGCAGCTTTTAGAAAGTTCAAGTGAAAAAAAAAAAAAAAAGAATTGTCAAAGATCCATGCCCTCAAAAATAGAAGTTGTGGCAAACAAATAAAAAGGGAAAAATAAAAGGAAAAAAAAAGAGAAGAAAAAGAGAAAAAAAGAAAAAGAAACAGAAAGAAAGATGAAAAATAGTTTAGGTCAGATGTTTGAACTACGTTAGACCTGATTCCTTGAAAATAAGGATACGTAGGCAGCCTCACGGTTCGGTCCAGCCAAAAAAAAAAATAGAAAAATCCAAAATCCCCAGCATCTGAAACTGGGGCAGAGATTTTTTGAAAGAGTCGATTCCAAGAGTTGTAAGTCTACAACCCTTCATTCTGAGTTTATTTTGATCCTTCATGCCGACCTTTTTATCCAACCCTATCCAAAAACCTTTCAAATAAAGACCTCCCGATATACTTTCAAAAATGCCAAGAGGAGCATGCAATGAGCAACGGTTGTCACGCGACATAGAACACTGTCAAGATGCTCGCACAAGAAAAGTGAAAAAAAAATGAAAAAAAATGAATGAGAGAGTCTTACTAGTTAAAACCTTTACGGGCATTGTAAGGCGATGGTAAGAAGAGATAAATAAATGAGAGAGACTTGTTGGTGAAAATCCCCCGAGGCACCACTAGTCGAAAGTGAGTCGTGAAGCTGATGCAAAGAATTGATATAAACAAGCCCGACTTCAAAGGTCATAAGAATATTAAAAGGGAAGATTGGATTGGTTTGATAGATCAGGCCGTTGAGTCCAAAATACATGTCATGATCATTAAGGCTAGTTATTGAAAAAAAAGAAAAAAAACTCTTACTTCTGTCCTTCCGACAGGGGCATTTCTTGTTGATACTTGTTTCTTTGCATCATTCGTGTCCTCCACTCTGAGTCAATCCTTGTCAAAACAAGCAAGAAAAGATTTCAAAATCTGCTACCGGCTTTTCAGTTGCACAAAGTAAATTTGGCTGGCACACTCAGTTGTTACTGTCAACATGCCCTAAGGATTCATGCAAAGGCGCCCCCAAAAGACT